TCATAGGGTCCCCATAAGTCAGGGACAATTTGATGACACATAACCACAACAAAAGTATTAATGCTGATCTGTAGCTGTTCTGTTGATCCCTCTTTTCCTATTCTCATGATCCCTTTATCTCTTGTCCTCATCCACATGGATTTATGGGCCCAAAGAACATTGGCAGTACCAAAGAGCAGTACAGAAATGCAGCCAATCAGGTGTCCCACTTGCTTCCCTCCAGCCTTGGAGTCAGGAAGAAACTCCTGCTCCTAGTGCTGGACCTCAGTGCCATCATGGCGGTTGGGCACCATAACTCAGGGAATGCCCAGCCATGCAAGGAAAGACAGAGGAAATGAATTTCCAGAGCCAAAGTAAAGCAATGAATGAAGCAAAGTAAAGCTATACTATCATTTCCAAAAATATGGTCTCAGTATTAAACAATATCTCCCCATTTTTTGGGTCAAATGTCTTATTGCAGTACAATAAAATGCCTCTAATGTTCTCAAGGTGGTAATCTATTCTCTTGTAGCCCTGTAAACTGAGCGATGTAACAGCTATAAATTAAATGATAAATTAAAGACTTTTCTCATCTAGTTATCTTGATTTGATAAGTATTTTTCCTAACTTTGGCAATCATAGATGGTGCAATGAAATTTTATGGTTTTACTCCTTGGAATTGGATCCCTTTTGGAGCAAATCTGTTTATCAAAATCAATTTCAATTCAGAGGTCCTGTCGAGTTTCATAAAGGGAACAGGCTAGACCGAAGCTTCCCTTGCGCATAATTCCACTCCAGGTGCACTTTGACTGGTGCAGCAGAGGCGGAAGTGATTTTCATGAGTTCCTCCCGCCCACTTCACCCCCACCGTCTGAAACAGAATAGAAGTTCCTGCTGGGGGCTGCAGGTAGGTGCGGGCATTGGCAAAATTGCCTCCCACACCTCCTTCAGTGGGATCCTCCTTTGGGGCAGAAACAGAAGGAGGGCTTTTGCTCATGGAAGGGCACGCCTGGTCCCATCCCAATATTTGTTATATTTTGTTCAGATCATCAGTCAGAGTTAAATTGAGAGAAATAATGCCAGTCTTCCTTTGCTTTTTATTTGTGGGACATGTGCTGATGTACATATGAACAGAGAATGAGATATTTACTGCTGAAGAACCCTAAAGAAAGTCTAAACTAGTTCACCTTGGTTTATCTGTATTTATCTCTTGATAATATTATAGATTTTTGGTGTCAAGAGATGTAAGAAAAGTGCTTAGAGGTAACTTTTTGTGTGTGTTATTGATTTGTTTTATAAATACTTTGTTAGAAAATGTGCTTTTCTATCTTTCTATAAAAGCTGCAGTTCTTTCCCATTTACATTCAAAGATCATTTGGGGTGAAAATCATCCCCGGGCAGAAGGCTGGTGAAAGCCTTCCTATATATCGAATGGCGCTTAAGCAGTGTGTAGCTTTTGTGCAGCGGCACAAGGGTTGAACTAGGCTGAACATTAATGCTCATAAATTTGCTGCACATATGGGCACCTTGCCCAGTTATTTGCCCACTGAAAGATAAGACCCCTCTCTGCAGGGTGTGGTGAAGAAGCTGCAGACAGGAACTGCTGCCAGCAGACATGCCTAAGCATGTCAGCTTCCTGCTTTTGGCCTTCAGTGAACATTTCACGAGCCCTCCTCTAAATTGAGGGAGAGGAAAGGAGCACTTCTGGAATGGCCTTCTCTTTTGGCAAGTAGCCAGGTACACTCAAAACCTTCAGTTAGAGCAGAGACTGAATGGGTCTTTGCTTGCACAGGAGTCACAGCCTGGAGTCACAGCGTGTAGTCCTAATTTGGGGGGTCTCCGTGGAGGGGAGTGATCCAGTCTACATCTGGAGTTTATGCACGTATGCTCAAATTCATGCTCGGATTCAGTGCATGTGAACAGATACCCTCCGTTTTCCTGGTTACCACTAGACCACACGCGCAGGAGCTTGCAGACATGTTCCTCTGTGCTCCTCTGTGCAAACATGGTTTTTGAATGTGTGGAAGTCCCAGCCCCAGTGGATTCCCTTTACACTTTCATGATCCATACTCAAATGTAGATCAGAACAGGGCATATGATAAATCAAGGGAACAAATAGATATTCATAGGCTGGGGGCAGAAGGGTTTTTTTTAATGATTTCCAGAGAGTGATATGGCAGCTCCAGGTTTCCCAAGAAGGATATTATTTATTATTGCATTAATATCCAAACGTGCTTGCTAGATTTCCAAGACTTTTAGCAGCAAGCCCCTTACCCCACACAGTGAGAGCTCCTGCAAGGTAGGACTCCAATCAGCTGGGTTCAGAAAAAGCAGCAGAATCCCCCTCAAAAAGACTGGACCAACCATCCAACCAACCAACCAACCAAGTGGCGAGCTTTTATAGATTACAGACTTATAGCACTGCAGCACATGCATACAGCATTCTACGTAATTAAAAGATATGGTTACAAGAGTGATATTGTTTACACAGGTGCTAAAGAGATAACAAAGTAGGGCGAACTGGCAAGGAGGCATCTCTGTGTGAACATCAGAGCACAGGCTCATTAATGCCTCTTTCTCACAAAAGCAATGCCTGATGAGGACCGTTCAAGGGCAGTGCGCATGGTCCTTGTGCCATCTCAACAACAGGAAAGGGAAGCGCCTTACTTTCTTGAAAGCAGACTTTCATGTCAGAGCAATGCTAATTATGCTCCACTGTGGTAATGTAGCAACAAGGCTTTAATGCCAAGCGAAGCAAGTGGTTTAAAGGGCTAGAGACCCAGGCCTAACCTTTTGGCATTCTGGCCTGTTACAATAGGAAAGTTGCTAGGGTTCCTCATTTGGAAGGTGGGATGGAGGAGAAATGTATTTCTGTGCATTTTTCTGGACAGGTTCTTGGTTCCAGAAACTGTGCCTAAGCTGAATAGCTTTTGAGGAAGAACAAATGGAAATCATGCAATCTGCCTGGCAGGAAAAGCTGTGAATAAAGCAACTTCATAGGAGGCATTGTGCAATCTCTGAATTTTGTGTGCACTCCAGATGGTGTCCTCTTCCATTGGTAACCTTCCAGGGTTTTCCAGCTGCTTCCTCTGCCCTTTTATTTCTACAGAAAGCCAGTCAGAGAGAAAGAAGGGATGGCTACACAACATCTTTTTGCTGGTAGCACCAAGAACCATCCATCTGGAAGCATCAGCAGTATAAGGGGGAAGCACATGCAACTTTTGGAAGTTCCTTTTAAACTTCCTTCAGCCTCAGATACAAGGCGCAAAGTGTTCACAGGGAGTTCTGTATTTGCAGACAGGTTCCCGAGATCTTCTGACAGCAGTTTCCTTGCTCAGCAAGCTACAGAGCACCAACAGCAGTGGTCAGGCACTGGCCCACTGGCTCAAAGTATACCTCTCGGCCTCTGAGCCATGGAGTGGTGTAGGATCAGGTGGTCTGACGGAGGGAGATGCTCAGCAGGGCAAACAGCAACAGCACAATAGTCTAACTTTGTAAAAATGGCACGGCGGTGTCTGCAGGGTCCCATGGCTGCTGCGCAGTGGCTGATGGTGCAAGCTATGTCGAACGGCAGAGGCAGGGAGCTCGATGCAGCAGCTACTGGGGAACACAAGCAGGGGAGGGGTTTCCACAAGCAGCTGGTGGCTGCTGTATGAACAGAATACCCTTGGTCCAGTCCAGCAGGGCTCTTCTTATGTTCATCCCCATGTTCGTTTATTGGTTGGGAGTGTCCACTAAGGTAGCGTTGCCTTAATTCTGCACCAGGCACAGCGTCGCTCCATTTTGCCCATAATTGGACAAACTATGTCATTTAGAAAATCCAACACTGTTGCTTTGATTATTTACTGTTTACCAATCTGTATTTGAAGGCAGGCTGTTAAGAAAACAGCTTGGGTCTTAGAAGTGAGAGCAGCTGAAAGGAAAATTGAGTAGGCAAAACTATGGAGACCTGGAGATGTGTTTCCACTGCTGTCTTCTTTGTGCCTCTGTAGGTGTATATAGTAGGGTGTAATCCCATGCATGTTTAGGCAAAAGGGGGGGGGCTACAAATCGTAATGCTTTTTTCCTGTCTAAATGTGTGTAGGATTGCATTATTAGGGTGGATGTGTTGCTGTTGCTGTCCAGTGTCTGGACAAGCATCCAAGCCTCGCACTGTCCACTTTCCATGTCAAAAGTCAGCCAGTGCTTTGCAAACTAAGCATGTTGATCATGTTTCATATGCGGGTATATGTATAATCTGTATATGCAGATCTGTATTATGCACATTTTTCAATGAAAATTAAAATACAATGAACGATTTTTAGAAGTTTATCTTGTAAAAATAAATTGTAGTTCTATATCATAATTGCTTTGATGTTTCATACATAAGTGTGGGTTTTTTACTGGAATGTCAATGGAGGTTGTTCACCTTGCCTGTTTTTAAACCTCTAAATAGTATCGGGGAATGCAATTCACTTATCAGGGAATAAGAGCCATCAAATTTGGCATAATTTCTGAGGATACATATATCGGATTGCCCTACAAATTACTGAGAATTGTAGGGTAAAGACATAACATTTGCAAAGATCACTTGAAATTTGAACCATTTGGCTTATTAACATTCCCCCCCGTCCCCCCAGATGCAGCTTCTTGAGGTAAAGCTTCAGAAAGGAAGGGCAGGGTGGTGTTTTTATGCAGACTTTTACCATTCCAGCAAATCAGTTGAGAGTTACTTATTTTTTAATTGTTACTTGCCAAAATGTTTAAGATACTTTAGAAATGATTATGAGATTTATAAGAATGTTGGGATACTAATGCTAATTACAGTGGTGTTTGCTGTGTATTAGGCCAGAATATTTGACACACACCAAATTATTACTTCATTGGCTTCAAGACATGGAACGTCTCTTGAAAACAGTCCAGTGGCAAGGTCATCCACAAGGCCATAACTGGATGCCACACATTCTGACATATGGTTGTTTTCATCTTTTGCATAAATTATCAGTGGCAAGCTAATGAGAACATTTTTCTCTATTATTTAGGCAAGTGTTTCCAAATGGGCTCCCAGAGGACTACTCCTTAACAGCCACATTCCGTGTCAGAAGAAACAGCAAAAAAGAACGGTGGTATTTATTGCAAATATTAGATCAGCACAATTTGCCACAGGTTAGAACAAGTTCTGTTTTTCCTATTTAGTTTGGTTGTATTCACTCATTTCCCCCCTGAAGTGGGGTGATAGATGCAGCCTCAAGATACTTTCCATCTGGATTTAAGTTTTACCAAAGCTGATTTTGCTGTGTTGAAATAACTGTGGCCATTATCCAATTCACAGCTAAATAAAGACTAAGTTCTGCAATATAGCACTGGAGTGGTCGGTGTGTTAACTGCCAGGACTGATGTGAAGCTGAAACATGACTTGGAGTAATCTTCAAGATTCTTGGAGTAATACTGAGAAAGGGATGTAACAAAGGAAAAGTGGATCTCTAAGAATGCAATTGAATGTGTCTGTCTGTGAGCACTATAGTGCCAAGATTTGCAAAACCTGCACAGCTGAAACATAGTATGCTTACCAAGGCGAGATGCTCCTCAGCTTATTTGTTACTTAAAATGTGCTGCTTAATTTTTATTTATTTAAGGACTGATAGGTTAGAAGCCTACAGCACCATCTTCAACCCTTAGGTGACAAATCACCATGACCAGATCTTATCTTTGCTGTCAAGACAGCTTAACACCCGTGAGGTTTCGCCTGAAGGGTGCAGCTGTGCACCTGCCTATTCTCCAGTGATGTGGAGCGGCTTCTTCCCTGGTGACAAAGAATGGTCACACCCCTCCCTCAGTGGGCTTTGGAAATGCATGATAGCTCGAGCCATAGCTAGGGTTGCCAACCAGGATTAGCATCACTCAGGTGCAGCTTAATCAGGCTGACTCCATTCAGTGACTGTATGTGTTTAGAAATTATACATCATAGAATTTCATGAGTGGATATCAAAGGGTGGAAGCCAGAGAGCCTCTTGCACAAGCAGGAGAAGTAGCACCAGTCACCCCAAACCACAGCCCGTGCAATTCGGAGAGACCCTTGATCCTCCTCATTCATCTTTGCGATGGTGGTGCAAAGTGGGAAGGGGAGGGAAGAATGCCCCACTGTCAGAGAATTGCACCAGAGCTTCTGTGGACCCTAATCAATATGTACTGAAGATGTGTGCTTTGGTTCTGTTCTTTGCAAAACTGCATTTCATTTATTCTGAGGTTATTTCTAAGTCTTCTAAGACTGGTTTTTATATTATCTTACAGGTTTACATTGCAGTTGATGGTTCAAAAAAAGTAGTAGAGTATGTTGCACAATCCACCCAAGGGAACTTCTTGCACTACACCTTTAAAAGCCGTGGAATCCATCCTGTCTTTGATCGGCAATGGCATAAACTTGGCATCAGCGTACAATCAAATATAATTTCTCTGTATGTGGACTGCAGCTTAATTGAGCAAAGGCAGACTGATGAAAAAGCTACTACTGACTTTCAAGGAAAGATTCTTATTGCTACCCATTACTTAGATGGCAAGCCTATAGATGTAAGTGGTTTTGTCTATGTAAGCATATTCCAGTAATACAGAAATTGTGGGTTGGATCCAAACCTCAGAGGAACAGATTTTTTTTCAGAAGGCATTCTGTAGAGGAAATGAATGTGGAAGTAGGAACAATTTCCCCTTCTGTCTGCAGCTCCCTGAACACTCAAAAAAGTTGCTTTGCTGGGTTGGGGATCCTCCAGAACAGCATGGGAGGTGGTGGTGGGGGGACTGCAAGGGGAATCTGCAAGTCCAGTAAGAACTTTCACTGGATCAGAGTCCCTTCTAAAAATGAAACGTGCTAGATGGGCAAGTTAGATGGAGATGTTTGGATTCAATCAAATGTGTTCAAAGGGTGTTTTTGTTTGAAAACCATTATGTTATATCATGACACTGTTTGCTTAGAAATAAGAAAAGTGTGTATCTTTTCTTAAAAAATCATTTGTGCTGTTGCACTTAATATCTCATATCCCCATTTTTGTAGAGCATCTGTGTTTACATGAGATACAACAAACCCGTCATGGGTTGCTACTATAGCAGATGATCATATTAGACAAACCTGCATCAATACCTACAGCTTGCTTGAGGGCAGCAAGCCACGCTGATTACCTCTGCGTTGTTCTAGGGGTTGTGCTCACCCTGATCTGTCATGTCATCTGAATCTGAGCAGGGGCCCACATTGCGGGCCCACATATTGCCAGCCACCCCAAAAGTACCCAAGAGTCATTTTGGGGCAGCCAACAGTGTCTTCCCCCACTTCCTGCCATGAGCTGTTTCAGGCTCATGGTGGCTTTTAACCTCTTTTCCCCTTCAGATAGTGGAAGCCTGTTGCGAAGGCCACCTTCACAAATAAAATAGTATGCAAGTTAGAATGCAGCACACAGATGCAACCCTCTATGCATCTGCTGGCAAGAGGACTCATGTAGTTCGGTGGAACTTACTCCCAGGCTAGTGTGTAGAGGACTGTGTCTTAAACAGAATTTTTTATTTCTATAAATAGAAATAAAAAGAGGGGCTCCCCGCAAAAGCAAACACATATTGTTAAATATTATGAATTTTTATCCCCCTCTCCCTGCAAATAAAGGCTTAGGTCCATTGTCTTCTATGGTTGATGCAAAAAAATGGAACTGTTCTCAATTTTTTGATTTACCTTGGTTTTAGGATATTATGGAGTTAAGTCCTTTGTATGCAATGTCTTGCAGTGGGATGTGTTTTAAACATCAAAAGTCAGCAAGCTTTGCACATATAGTAAGAGATTTTAAAGTTCAGCTGAAGTTCAGGAGAACATAGAGAGAATCTCAGGAAACACAAACTTGGTTTGCAGAAAAACATGAAGCTACCCTATTGATTGGTTAGAGCTAGAACGAGGGGAAGTTAATGTTAAAAGGGAAAATTCAGCGGGGGAGAGACAAGAGAGAGAAAGAGAAGGCAAAAGATTCAGAGTAGCTAGAAATGGAGAGCTGATTGAGAGCTGGACCTATGATAGTAACAAGTAAATTGAACAAGGAACCTAGATGAAATATGAACAACATCTAGTTAAGATAGAAGGATTTGTTTACTCCTGGTTGTTGTGTTGCCTAGTTGCTTGTATTGCGTGTGTGGTTGTGTTTGGATTTTAAAACAGTTACCTATTGATGTTCTTCTTCAGACATTAAACCTTGTAATGTGAAATTTTGTTGAGGGTGTGTGTGTCCACACTCTTCTCCATGTCTAACAGCCAACTCATCCCTGTACTTAGTTCATTTATTTATTAGATCGATTTTCTACCAACTTGGCCCAAGGGTCCTCTAAGCAGATTACAAACAGCTAAAACATCACCTAACAGTAACAATAAAGAAGCAGATTAAAATACAAAAGCAAAGTCAATAAAAACAACACAATACACCACAGAAGGCAAATAGTTTTAAATCGTCAAGATAAAATCAATGATTAAAATGCCTAGAGAATAAGGCTGTTTTCGTCTGGTGCTGAAAAGACTGTAACAACGGCAACAGGTGAACTGCTTTCAGGAGGCTGTTCCACAGCTGGGGTGCAACTACTAAAAAGGCCCTTCTTCTATCAACCGTCTTCCTCACCTCCTTGGAGGATGGCTCTTTCGGAAGGGCTTCCAAAACAGGGGCTGGGCAGGTACGGGCAGTTCTTCAGGTCCCCTGGTCCCAAGTTGTTCTTGTTATGTGTCCTCCAGTTGTCTCCACCTTATGGTGACCCTATGAATGAAAGCTCTCCAACACGTCCTATCCATGGCAACCTTGTTCGGTTCTTGTAAATGCCAGGCTGTGGCTTCTTCAATCCATCTCATACTTGGCCTTCCTTCATTTCTTATGCCTCCTACTCTACATGCATGATTGTCTTCTCCAAGAGTTTTGCCTTCTCATGATGCATTAGCCTTGGCTTTGTCATGTTTGCTGGATGAAAAACTCTGGCTTGATTTGATCAAGGACCCACCCGTTCATCCTTCTGTCAGTCCAGGGTATTTGCAAAGCTCTCCTCCAGCACCATGTTTCAAATGCATCAGTTTTCTTCCTGTTAGCTTTCCTTACTTTCCAGCTTTCACGTCCACACATAGTGATCAGGAATACAATAGTGTGAATCATCTTGGCTTTGGTCTCCATGAAACTCCCTTACATCTGATGATCCTTCCTAGTTCCTTCATTGCTGCCCTTCCAAGTCTCCGTTTTCTTCCATTTTATTTTTTTTTTACTATTCAGTTTGAATTGATGACTGCACCAAGGTATGTAAAATTTTCCACAGTTGTTGCTTCATTGTTAACAGTAAAGTTCTCTAATTCTTCTGTAGTCATGATTTGTTTTCAGCTGAAGTCCTACTTTTGCACTTCGTTCTTTCAGTTTCATCAAGAATCATTTCAGTTCATTGCTGCTGTCTGCCAGTAATTTGGAAGCAGCTGCAGATCTTAAATTATTGGTTTTCTTCCACCAATTTGCATTCTTTCTCCTAATTCTAATCCAGCTTTCTTTATGATATATTCCCTGTACAGACTGAACAGGTGAGGAGATAAAATACACCTTTGTCTGGTGCCTTTGCTTATGGGAAACTATTCTGTTTCTCCAGATGCTGTCCTAATAGGGGCATCTTGTCCAGGTTCTCCATCAGGATGTTCAAATGCTGAGGCACACCCTTTTCTTTCAGGACCATGAAGCTTTGCTATCATCCATAAAGCATAGACTGATTCTCTTCTGAAATTGTTTAGTGCGAGTCAGTAGCCAACTTATATGTATAATCTTCCTTTCCAAAATCCAGCTTGAATGTCAGGCATTACTTATTTTATTTAAGGTGTTGCAAGTCTTCATTGCAGCAGCTTGGACATCACTTTGCTTAATGGGAAATTAATGCAGTAGTCCTATACTTGCTGCACTCTTTCTTGGGGATTGGAATAGAGAATGTTTCCCGTTTCTAGGCTATTGGATTTTTTACCATATTTGTTGGTATATTCTTGTTAGGATTTGGACAGAATCAGTCTCAGCAGCTTAGAACAGTTCTGTCGATATCCTATCTACTCTGGGTGCTTTGTTCCTTCCAAGTATTTTTAGATCAGCTTTCACTTCAATTTCTAATGTTGCAGGCTGTTCCTCAAAGGATGGCTCTTTGAAGGAATCTGTCATCCCTTTATCTCTTCTGTATAGTTCTTCCATATACTGTTTTCACCTTCTTTTTATTTGTTCCTGAACTGATAGTATGTGCCCCTGTTAGTCCTCCAGCATTCCTAATCTAGGTTTGGATTTCCCTTTGATTTCCTTGAGCTTCTGGAAGTGGTCCCTCGTTTTGCACTGGTCATTGCAATAGTTCTTGTTTCAGTGTGATAGTCACTGAAAAGCTGCATTCAGGTTTCTGATGCTATTTCTGTCACCTTTCGTTTCTCGCCTGTACTTAGCAACTGTGAGTGCTTCTTCTGTCATCCATCTAGGCTTTTTGTTTCATTTTGCTGCAGGAATTGTTTTTTGGCATTCTTCCCTGCTAAAGTCTCTGGTTTTAGTCCACCGTTCTCCTGGCTCATGATCACTTAAGTTGAGTCTGGCCTTCTGGAGATGTTGCTCTCAGTTCTTTATGTGGACTTTAAATTCCACAGGGATATTCTTTAAGTTGGATTTTGGCACTATGCTTCTGAGTCTTTTTCAGATTTACTCTGATTTTTGATCTTAGGAGTTCATGGTCACTACTACAATTGCTCCAGGAATTGTTTTGCCAGCGAGAGTAGAGTTTCTCTATCTCTTGCTTCCAAATACATAATGTACTTGATTTTGGTATGGGCCATCTAGTGATGTCCATGTACTACTGCTGCCCAGTAGCTGCCCTCCAGAGGTTTCTCCGCCCCCATCACCATTAGTGATATCCAGGGCTTTTTTTGTCATAGAACGCACCGGAACGGCATTCCGGCACCTTTTTTTCAATGGATTTTACAAAGTGATTTTGAACCGCAGCAGATCAGCAGCAAACATCATTAACATAGGCTGCTACTGTGTCTGCTATCTGATAGTGAGAGATAGCTGCTTGGGATTGGTGTGTGTGCTTACTGCCAGGTCAATGTGAGTTCCAGTTCCGGCACCTTTTTTTTTTTACAAAAAAAAGCACTGGTGATATCTATTTTCTCCTGCTGATGTGACTGCTCCTCCTGAAGAGGGTGGATGCATCTTAGTCTGGAGTCTCCCATCTGACCATTCAGTCTGGAGTGACCCTGCTAGGAGGCCAGCCTAGTGAGATAGTCCGGTCTTCTGGAAATGTTGCTCTCAGTTTCTCTGACATTCTCAACCCCCCTCACCACATTAAGGTGAGCATCCAAGAAGAGGCCTGCTATACTACCTAAAGTACATAATTGAGATCTAGAGAGTTTTCAAGCTAGTCTGATGGAGCCAGCCAGAGATATAAAGATTTCCAACTAATGGCAACAAAAAAGATCACAGGAAAGAACCAAACTCACTTCTACTCATGAAACAGGGCATTCCTGAGAAAAAAATATGAACTTTTGACATTTATACTTTCTTAATTTCTGTCTCCTTGCCTCAACCCTATTAGGGCACCATCCTATGGAGGCTCACGCTCATCCTTTGTCTCCTTGATCCTTTGGCTCTGCAGTTTTGCTCAACGGCCATTTCCAGCCTGTAGCTGAAGTGGGAGAGAAGGAGGCTGAAGCAGCGTCCACTGCAGTCCCTTCCCTTCCCTTCCCTTCCCTTCCCTTCCCTTCCCTTCCCTTCCCTTGCCCACCTCTCCAGGGTTGCTTTCCCCACCTTGGAGAGCAGCTAGTATCCAAAACAACTACAAGAAGGTGACAGGGATGGAACTCTGGTGCTCAGATCCAGGGTCAGAGGGCAGTCTCCAACTTTGGATAGAGGCTGAAGGGTCACTCCCTCCATAAAGCTTGTTTTGAAGTGATTGCTTTGACTCCAGTAGTTTCTAGAGTTAAGAAATATTCCCATTCAATATGCCCATTCAAACATGGTGCCGTGTATCTTCTCATGTATACAAGTCATGCGTTTACAAAGAATATATATTCAGCAAGGTATGTTTAGGCTGAATACCTGGCATACTTACACAGGAACAAGTGCTGTTGAACTCAAGAGTACTTCTGAGCAGACATACACAGGATCATACAATTATACTGCAGGTGCATTTCATTTGAGGTGTTCACTCTACTATTGTGCATAGGTGTGAATATTACCACATCATCATTATTCTTTATAAAGTCCTAACTGCTGTACACAGATTAAAAGCCAGAATGACCCCGTCTGTTGTTATATAGGTTCATATATGTGACACAACAGGGGAAAGAAGTAGGAAAATAAGAGGAACACATTTAATATGTAGAACACAATCAGCCTATTTATTCTAAAAGTTATTTGCTCAATTGATGTGGGAGATGCAAAAACTGCTGTTAATATTATGAGATTGTCCTGAAAGTAAGGGATCAGAGGTCCATGTTCTCCACAATATGATAGCGAGTAAGCAGAGAGCTACAGCTTGTGTAAGGATTTTTTTGGTAGTTTCTCTTTCACAACACACAGAGACTCATTGAATGATATGTGTAGTCCTATCTGCCATAGTTCCTCCCCATTGACTGAGGTTTCACTGAGGGAGGGGAAATATAGCTACCTTACACTCCTGTACAGACAAATCTTCCCAAAATTACTCCTTTCTTTTATTCTCCAATAACTGCCTTCCCATTCTCAACCAAGGCTTCTGGCTACTGTCACATTCCCTTTATTCCTTCAGCCTGTTTCCTTTGTCCACACCACCACTGACTCCATTCCATCTGGTTTCTTTCTTGAGAGACTATAAATGTCTCACAAACTAATTAGCATCTATAGGCTCTCTTCTGCAGCATGCAAACGGCTGCACAATACGCAGCGTGTGTGTGTGTGTGTGTGTGTGTGTGTGTGTGTGTGCGTGCGTGTGCATGAGAGGAGGCTTTGAAGCAGAGGTTCCCTCCTCCCCCAGGAGGATAAAAACAATTCAAACATACTGCAATATTATTTCCAGTGAACTGTCCCCTTTCTACAAAAGTCTCTGCCTCTCGCTATGCAGATGATTCAGTGTAAAGACCCAGCAAATGCCTTTTCATGTGTTATGATTAGGGTGGAATTGAATATTTTTCTGTTCAGCTTTCAAAGCTAAAAATAATGCATTTGTGGATGAAAAAATCCTCCCAAGACCTTAATAAAAACGCTGGCTCTTGTTCAGCTCCTGTTTGTTGCCTGCATCAGCACTCCCCACTCCCTTTTTCTAGTTACATTTTTCGTCCTTGTTCTGGTCAGCCTCGTGGGTGATCACAGTCAATGCTAGTTCAAAGAGTGCCATCACAGTGCTAGCCAATCAGATTTGGCTATGAGACTTAAAGCAAATTAAAATCAATTTAGCATGAAATTCTTGCTTCCTGGACCTGTGGCATGGGCAGTTTGGCCAACTGCAGATCACCCAAATTCTCTATCTTGCTGGAGACGGGCTGCTGCTTGGGCCACTTGTGCAATACTCTGATGTCAGTGGGTCTGATGGGTGAACTTGAGTGTTGTGCTCGGAGGTCCCTGTTCATATGTTAGCACTGACTCTGCAATCGTGGGTTATTGTAAGAATTACCAAAATAATGCATAGGATGTTCTGTGAGCAGTTAAGGAAAAATGTGTACATGCTAAAGACTTGTTGTGCTGCATTGCAGTTAGTGATGCAAGCTCGCTCAGGCTCAGAAGGGCGAGAGCTGTTGCCCAGTTCCCTGCACAGGGCCACTTCCATCCCAGCAAAGAGCGCTGGTGCGGGCCAGGCCTGGTTCCATTAGTGCAGGTGTGCTCAGTTGCGCCCTAAGTATTTTAATTGGTTTTTACTCCAATTTTTAATCTTAGTAACAGGGCCAATAGTATGTATTTCTATAAAGTCTATTCAGTTCAAGTGCCATGCCTACAGAGATATATTTTGTGTCCTTAAAATATTTCCTTAAAATGATGTCCAGAGAGTTGACCCAAGGAATGCTCCACGTGGTAATATCCACCATAGCAGTTAATCCAAATGCTTCTCAGAATGGTTTAAATAAGGGCTATCTATGGCTGCAAATGTGCTTTGCATTATCAGATTAGAATCTGTGGGGTTGCTCCAATATTTGATATAATATATTCAAATATAGTATTTTCAAATGTCAGACTACAATGTGCTTTAAAACTGTACAGCCACAATTCAAAACAGAGCTATGCACACTGAAGCCCACTCATTCTGTGCAAGCAATTGAATTTTGTGTTGGGTTGTGGCCATGGTGGTTTAACATATACCAATATTGAATGCCTTAGTCAATTTGCAAGTATCTCTGTGTTTACTAAACAGATTGAACTTGGCCACATGATGTTATATTACAATCCCAGAATTGTGACGCAAGAGAAATGCTGTGAATTATCTGAGAATATGGTAAGTTATAAAAATAAAAAGTACATGTAGTTTCCTTTTTCACAGTAAAAAAGGGAATATAAATAAATCCTATGGTGTCATTAAAATCTGTTCCTTAACATGAAGGTTTATATTAGATTATTTTGCATGCAGAAAAATAAGGAATGGAAATGAACTAACATAGGAGAAAAAATATCAACAAGAAAAAAATATTGCAAGGTTTGCTCTGATAAAGGAGCTTTTCACTGGCAACTGTTATAGATGCAAGTCCATATCAAGGTATCTATTTGGACCTTGTTAAACTTGAACAGTGCAACTGTTGGTGAAGATATGTGTGTCCACTATGGCCTTTATGATTAGCACTGCGCTTTGGCACCATTGAAAACGTGTGGCGTTAATGGCCATCTGGGCCGACTCATTAATGAAGAGCCTAAGCACCTCCCCCTTTCTTACTATTCTCTCTCTCTCTCTCTCTCTCTCTCTCTGTCTTTTCCCCTTTTTATCCACTTAATTGCTGTTAAGTAAGCAGAGAGATTTATTTGACCTACAAGGTAGTGTTATAAATCTTAAACAGAAACCTCTTTTAAAATGTAATTGAATAGAATGGCAAAACCACACATTTTGTTAGCATGTTGATCTTATTGTTTAATTTCATGTTTGAAATATGTATTATTATTTCTGCTGGACCAATCCATTTAAATGCGTACATGCAAACTACATCATGTCATGCAAACTACATCATAGCACACACAGGGAAAATGGAATTTGGAATAATAATGTGACTAAGAAGTGGGAGCCCATTGTAAGTAAAGCCCATTGAATTCAGTGGACTTACTTTTAGATAAGCGTGCATAACATTGCAGCTGTAGGATCAACAGAACATATCTTTCAGTATTTAAAATTCAAAATATACATATGCATAGATTTTAGCAGTTTGTATATATCTGGATGAATGAGGGAGGCAATGAGAGAGACAGAAGGAGAGAGAGAAGAGTGATGCTGATTTTCATATCCATGCATACAGCAATACTACAATATTTCTCAGTTTCCACCTCCTTTAAATAAAGGTGAAGAGACAAAGAGATTTCTGGCTAGAATCCTAACAGACTAGGGAGTAAGCCCAACTGAACACAATAAGGCTAACTTTAGTGTTGACATGCATTAGATTGTTTTGTGGCACCCTAATATTTTTAATAAGCAAATAACCAGCAATTTTGAATTCCGTTCACTTTTTTCATAACATTTGCATCCACAAAAAATTATTTCCATCCCTCTTAAAGTGTTGCCTTTAGAGCGTGTATGTGTGTGTGCACATTTGTGAGAAAGATCATTGTTGAAGATATATATTTAAAATTTCAGTGCCCTTTTGAAGAAAGCTTGAAAACTACTGCAGCATCACCATCAGCTGTTCATGTTGGTGAAATACATGCACTTCCAATAATGGACAAGAAACCAGAAGAAAAATGCTTCTGCACTGCAAGCAAGGTATGTTACTGCTTCATGTGAGCTTCAAGAATGTGTTACATTGTGTATCGCTCTGAATAACTTGGCTTTTCACTTTTATCTTTGCTCCCTTCATATCAGCAGAGATTTAATTTTGAGGAGAATTATGCTATTTTCTGCAGATTTAATTCTTTTAGTCATGCTAAAGGCAAAAAAGCAGGGGGCAGGCACTGGTTATTTGGGTCATAATTTCACTTATTTATTGCACTGCTTGTACCACCGAGTAGCTTAAGCTTTCTGTGCAGATCACAACATTTAAAACAATAAAATAAAAAGTGGTTAAAGTATAATTTAAAAAGAAACGGAATCTAACTGTAGTGCAATGATTTAAAATGCAATACCAGATTTAAAACAGAAACTGAAAAATTAAAATAATTATTAAATAATAATTGGGGAAATAGCAAGGTCTTCATTTGGTGCTGAAAAGAACACAGTGTCCATGCCAGGTGAGTCAGCCCACAAGCAGGATGCCACAGCGGAAAAGGCCCTCTTCTTAGCAGCTGCCTACCTCACTTCCTTTGGTTGGGACTCCCCAATCTTTGAGGATGATCTTGAGCTCCAGGCAGTGCATATTAGATGAGACGACCCTTCTGTTAACCTGGGCCTAAGCTGTTTTGGGCTTTGACTTTCAACACCCGCTTTGACTTCTCCACATTTTGTTAAGTCGCAACTTGGAACTGAAATAAATTTAATTAGATCACGGGACATTGGGCCCTCAAATCCAAATGCAAGGCACATTCCAAAAGAAAGTACAGTGGTGCCTCAGCTCATGAACGCCTTGGTTCACAACCAAATTGGGTCACAAACAAAAATTTCATGAAAATGTTGACTTGGGTCGCGAACTCCGCATTGGGTGGCAACCAAGTTCGTGGACATCTCCCCACCCCCCTCCCAAGTGGGGAGATGGCCACGATCGCAGTTGCATTTGTGCAGGAAAGACGGGCGCAATCTCGGCCATCTCCCCCACCCCTGGCAACCAGCACGATTGCGGCCATCTCCCCACCCCCGAGTGGGGAGATGGCCACAATTGCAGTTGCATTCATGCAGGGAAGACATAGAGGAGCTGACGACAGAAGAACTTGAACTCCAGAGTGAGCAGCAGAAGGCACTCGCTGAGGAGGATTCCACTGAGGAAGAGGAAGACAGGGAGGAGGTTAGCAGTCGTGTGATGCAATCCATTATGAAAAAATGGAATGAGTGCCAGAATTTCTTTGAGAAGCACCACCCCAACATAACTGTAATGAAGAGAGTGTTAAATCTGATGAGCGATAACGTGGTCTTTCATTTCCGGAGGGTTATGCAGCGCAGGAAAAAACAAGTGACTATAGACAGATTTTTCACCAAAATTGACCCTGCAGCTAAGAGACAAGGAAGAGAGGAAATCCCTGAAAGAGATCTCCCTGATGTCTTTACGGAGGGGGACTCTCCCTCAAAACAATAACCTCCCCACTCTACCTAGGTTAGTGTTCTCCACTGTACAGTACAGTACAGTACTTTGTTACTTTGTTGTTCTTTGTCACTTTGTTTCAAATTTTTCTGATTAAAAAAATAATAGTTACAGAACGGATTAACCTTATTTCCATTGAACCTTATGGGGAAATTTGACTTGACTCATGACCAAAAATTGGCTGACAACCACATTCAGAGGGGCCGGAATGGCTTCACCTTATTTACATTGAATCTTATGGGGAAATTTGACTTGGGTCACAACCAATTTGGGTCACAACCAGAGTCGTGGAACGAATTAAGTTTGTGAGCCAAGGTAGCACTGTAAACCAAATATGCTACCTTCTACATTCACCTAGGCAGGGTCATACACCCTGTGTTAGCTACTGTAGAGTTCCTTAATCTCCATTAACTGCAAGGTGTTTGATCTCCAATTAGTTAAGAGCCATCTAAAACTTTTATCAGGAGATAAAAGATGACTAGAGGTGTAATTTCACAGGAAGGGTTTTTAAATCTTTACATGTTGGAACATCACTTGGCCACTAGTACAGTAATAGTCTAGAAGTCTTTAATTGCTAATATTATTTATTTATTTTACATCTTTGGCCAGGATGTCTCCAATTATATTGTTTTTATATTGTTGTTATTTATTTATTGTTGTGAGCCACCCCGAGGCTTCGGCGAATGGGGTGACATAGAAGCTTTCTAAATAAATAAATAAATATTGATCGAATATCTCAAGGCAAAGGTATGTATGTATGGCAGGTATGTATTAACAAAAGTCACATCCACAGCCTCAGTGAAGCGAATTTTACCATAAAAACTCAGGCAGTAACGCGGTCAACTCCCTGACTTAGCATGGATGACACCGATAGTTAAAGGAGATTAGAGGAATCTACCAGAGAGAAAAATACTATAATAAAGGATAATTTCAACTACTTCAATTTGATTGGATAAGTGTCACTCCAAGGTATACTGCAGAGATGAAATTTCAACATGGTATGAATTATTGTTTCCGGGAATAGCTAGTTGAAGAGGCGGCTCAGTATGTGGCAGTACTTGCCTCATTCCTATGTAGAGCACAGGACTGGACTGCAGTGTAAAAATAGGTGGATAACAAAGGAAGAATTGTGTTCAGACACAATTCTGGAAGACGTGCCTCTGCGGCAGCCTTCAAGTTAGAAGGCAAATGAGATAAAGATGGGGACACCTGGCACACGTTCCGAGTCAAGTTTAGAATATGCTCCATTGACTGTTTTGCTGAACAGGATTGTCAGTTAAAACCATGTGATTTGTAAGTAAATCGTTTTGACAAACAGGATAGACATCAAGCTGTGGCAGATACCTTGTAGCTAGAGTATAGTGTTTTTCTTTATTCATCCTTTTTATGTAATATAGGAAGTATACTGTAGATTTCCTATGTTGTCACTGACTGTCTGAAATGCAAAAACATATGTATGAGGGATCTTCAAAAAGTTTCCACACTTGTAAAAACTCTATTAAGAATTTCACAAACAAATTATATCACTTTTCTACATAGTCACCTTCCCTTGCGATGCATTTTTCCCAGCGTCATGCCAACTTTTTAATGCCATCAGCAAAAAATGTATGTATATATATATATATATATATATATAAAATATAAAAGTGCAGAAACTTTTTGAAGATCCCTTGTATCAGCCAGTGAAAGAATCTTTAGGATTTTAAAGCAATTTTCCCAAGTTGCAGCTTCAAACCTCTTGAGTTTAGAACAATTCTAAAGACAAAGAGGATCAGAAAACTGTAAAGTTTCAAGCTCCACTGACAGCATACAGGCCACACACAAGTGCCATGCCTGTGTGTGTGTTTGCCCAAGAAATAAATAATTTTAATTTTTTAATTTTTTATTCATTAAAAGCTTTTCTATCCCAACCCCTACAGAACATCTCAGGACAGCTTACAATAAATAAATAGAACAAAACAAACCCCACAGCATCCGACCATTAATATACTCAAACCCCAGTTAAAATCATTTAAACATTAAAATAGCAGGGAAATACAAATAATAATATAGGCTCAGTTTGCTGCAGAAACCAAAGATCCAACAGCACATTAGTAAATATTAGAAAAGGAAATTAAAAATAATCTGGTCAATTTCCTTGTATGTTACTTAATGTACTTTGTCTAGTTTGATATGTGAAACTTACAAGCACATTGATAAGCAAGACTACACTGATCGGACAGCCATGCATGCGCCCTTGTGAAAGCCTGACAATAACAACAACAACAACGGTACAAATGTACTTGCACAGTCTTCTGGGGCCAAAAAACAATGTCAGGGAAGGTCATGGAACAATGACTGTCATTCTGAAGTGCCCCTTCAGCCTTGGCGGAGGGGCTGCCAAAGAGAACAGTAAGAATGAGCTTGTGGGGAGAAACAAAGCATGGGGAGCCCCACCAGCTAGGTAAATTTTGACTTAGAAGAAAACCCCACACCCCAAATGACTCACCTCCCAGGAACTGCATAGAGGTCTAAGTCTGGCTTCCCCCCACACACTTCATTTAGTGTGTGAAGAGAGCTTTTGTTGCATTGACAGCTGTTATACCAGAAGCCACTCTCCAGCTCCTGCACACCCAGTAATCTGTGTACCTGTGGAAAGACAAGAGTGGGAACAGTTGCGAGGTCTCTAATGTTAAACGGGCACTACTCCCTCCCCAGCAGCAGTGATGTGGGGATGAGTTACAGCTGAACAGGCCCGAAGGGAAAAGGACTGAATTGCAGTATACTGTCACCTCAAGGATAAGCATCTGGTTGTGCATTATTCTGAGGACACTACTGTGTTTGGGTGTGTAGGACATTGCTCACTGTATGTTTCCTCTGTTTTGAGTTCAAGACTGCAGATTATAACATTCCAGATTTATTTTAAACAGGGAGAAACAGGATCCCCGGGGGTCGCTGGTTTGCCAGGACAGAAAGGAGAAAAGGTAAGACACTGATTCCACGTCAAGGTTCTCTGGCAACATTCTCTCCATTTTGCTCTTTGGTTCTTCATTTGGGTTTTAGAGAAACTGGGGATTTTTCTCCCTCTAGCTTAGTCTAAATCTTTTTAAAAGCATATTCCTTAAACAGTTAAGGTGTTTGCCTTGGACATCATGTTTCAATCATTCTATAAACTTACAAAGCTCTAAATGTCCTGATACCCAGATATTGGAAGGGCCAATTTCTGCCACAATAACCTCTCTGTTTCTTGAGGGCATGGGAGAACGTATGTTGGGTGCCCCACCCTCGGAGGTCAGGTGGGTGGCTCTTTGTTGTGCCGCCCCAACTTTAGAATGCTCTTTCCAAACATAGTTTCTTGGCACTGCCTGTAATACCTTTAGGTTCTTGGTGAAAACTGATCTGGTTAGTAAAGATTTTGGTGACTTCTAATTTTCAGGGCTCATCCAGAAATCAAGTGCTTGATTTGAATTTATATATTGGTTTTTAGAATTTTCTTCTTTGGATGTGAAGTTAACTTTGAATGTGATGGAGAAGCAGGTTATTGTGTGTGTGTGTGTGTGTGTGTGTGTGTGTGTGTGTGTATGCATGTGTGCATGAATCCATCTATACAACATTTTTTCACTGTCCAACACACTTAATATTTCACATTCAGGCAGATTCCAGTTTCTGTTAGTCAGTTATATACCTATATACCTGTTAGTTAGTGATATACCTTTACCAGCTGAGCAATACCTATATTGCTCTCACTAACTGGCTAAAAAATAATCTGGCTGTGGTTGCGGCTCTTGTATTGTCTTTGCTATTAAGTGGGCCGTGCAATAGAATGCTGCACTGTAGAGTGCCCTGCATAGCATTTCTGCCAGCCATGCCTTCTTTCAAGGTATCCCATTCCAGTCCTCCACCCCTCTAGTGCTCCATTGTCTTCTCCCCAACAGACCGTATTCTGCGGCCATGAAGCATGCCGAGTCTTCACTGGGGCCCTTTAGGATTTTTCTGAAAGGTTTGTTTTCCCCGACTTCTGCCTTAGGGTTTCTTCTGTCCTGATATTTCCTGAACATGTTGATCAGTCCACCTTGTTTTTCAGTAGCCCCATTTAGGCTACATAGCCAGCGAGCATCCAAGTTTGCTTTTAGTATAAATGATTATGACAAGTGCTGTTTATTATTTATAAAGTGCCTAACTTTCATTAAACACAGTAAACAGATGAAGAACAAATCCACAAGGTTGCTGTTTAAAAGCATGACACAAAAGGGGTGGAGAAGGATGAAGAGATAAGAAACCTCCAGAAGGTTCCAGTACTTAAAGCTCTATAGAGTATTCTTATAGTGTCTAGAAGAGGAAAGCCAAATGAAAGCAGCATTTCATGTTTGGAAAAAAGGCAGAAGATGGATTACTAGTGGTATTCATTAGTGAAAGTATATCCAGTGTACATTTGAACTGGGTTACAATTTTGCGTATAAATTTAAAAGACAAAATGGGAGAGGTGTCTGGGTGCACTGAAATCTGTTATTTAGGCCTGACAGAGCAGACTTGGAGGCTGAAGATTCCGGTTGATTGTATTCCTGAAGTAATCAGGGGGTTAAAATTGATTTGGCTCAGATATTTTTCTGCATGGTAGCCATTTATGCAACACCAAAAAGGATACAGATATGCATATATAAACACACACTAGTGTACATTTCCCCATAATGGAGAAGGTTGTAGCCTGGGTGCCTCCTCAGTCGGCTGTTGAGGGGCAGCTTGCAAAGCCCTGCTCCTTTCCCTCCTTGTGGTTCCTTATCTTAACCAGACTTGGACTGGACAGTCCATTAAATAGAGGAACCTTTCAAATGAAGTCTCTCCTCTGTAAAGTAGGACATATGACTAGACACCCCTTCTTTGTGCTTCCTCCTGTCAGGAATTGGGTTGCCTCCTTCTTCCTCTCAAATATAGACAGTTCTTTGCTAAAAAGTTTTATTTCCCACATACAGTCAGCAAACTAATAGCCAGAACCTCTGCGCATGCACAGAGTAGTTCACCGAACCCACATGAGAAACTCTTTCTGAGAACCTTCCTTTTCAGTCACCCAGGGCTCCACTCCCCTGGACCTGCCCCTCTGGAGAAGGACTGCCCTCCTAGATCTACACTGGCCCTCTAGCAAGCTAGCCCTTCACTCCTGACGCCACCTCATGGGGTCAAAGATTGGACCAGGCTCCTGTAGCTCCCCTCCATGTCCCCTCCCGGCTCTTCCAGACCCTGTCTGTGCCAGAGTCTGCCTGAACACTTAGAGATGGAGGCCCCGAGATAAGCTCTCCCCGCTCCAGCTTTCTATGCCACAGACCTCATTTCTCGGACCTCACTGCCCTCATCTAAAGAGTCTGGCCCTGGAAGGCACACCAAGAATAACTGTCTCTTTCATTCCTAGCACCTCCCTCCTCTCCTTTCATTGTTGCCTCCTTTTTTCTACCTTTTATGTACATTTTAAAATCATAAAGGATGAACAGCTTCCTGTATAATGATTTGAAGGTCATCAAAGCAGCAGTAAGTTACTTTACCGTGTTCCTTCATTGACACTTGCCCTGGATGTGCGTTAAGGAGGAAATAACGGGCTTGTTTATATTTGTGTATCCTGGTACTTTCCTGTATGAAATATACCCTAGAGCTGTTTTTTGTTTGTAAGAGTTTGGTTCATTAACACCATTTTAATAAAAATAAGTCTTGAGAAAAAGATGACAGGGAGAGCTTGGAGCTGGATTTTGCATAACGCCTGTCCCCTCCACTGATCAGAATGCTTCTTTTGGCTATCAGAAGAACAAATGGTGCTGAGACATAGTTATCCACACGTAGTACACATTTTAAAATTCCTTTGACTCATCTTTCTTCATATTTTCCTCTCCTTTTTACATCCGGCTTGAGCTTTCTAAAATAGAAATGTGGAATCTTAAATTGGCTCAAAGTTGAAGGTGTAGTGCTGGGGGAAACAAATGGGCAGTTTCAATATATTGTTGTAGCTGCTGCTATTTAACACTAATAATTCATCTAAAATGTTCTAAGTGCTGTACATCAATTGAAAGATGGCAGTCCCTGCTCACAGGCTCACTTTCTAATAGACTTGGTAGAGAAGGAAAAGGCAATGAAAGGAAGAGGAAAGCAAGCATTAGGAGAAGCAGGGTGCCTTCTCTGGAAATTCCAGCTTTTCTGTGGCTTGGACAGCAGGGTTTTGCCAGTGAGCCTGTGTTAACCTAAGTGTTCACCTGGAGATGATTGACCCAGCTGAGTGTCAAGCACCTGGCTTTGCCTCAGCCCTGTCTGTCCTGCTAACTTCCTTATGGAGCTTCCTGGTCTTCGAGGCTTTTTGTGGTGACTCTTCCTATGCCTGCTTCCCATTTGGCCTTATTTGCTGTTCCTTGGAGCCCATTTTCAGCCCTGTATCTAGCCTGGTCCTGATCTTGCCCTAAAGCTGAAGATCAGCTTCCATCTGTCCTCTCTCTGGCTTTCATCAGTACGTACTGAGTAAAAGCTTTCTTGATTCTACTGACTTCAGACTAAGCATGCTGAGTAGATCCATAGTGACAGTGGGAAAGTGGCGTTCAGTGAAGACCCCCCACTGGAGGAAGATGGTGATTTTTCTTGCCTCTGGATGCAGAAGGGCTTGGTGAAAATTGCTGCTCTAACCCCTTCCTTCAACTGCATTAAAACTCCTCTGAGTGCAAACCTGTATCCAGTGCTTCAGAGGTGACTGGGGGTTATATGCCCTTCCCTGTTCTCGTTGGATAATACAATAATACAGACTCTTAGCTTCTGACTTGGTAACTTTAAAAGCAGTGTTGTTTTGCTCTTGTGTCTTGAAAGCATCTTTAATACTGTGAACACTTCTGCATTATCTATTAACCTGAAATTCACCATTAAGAGGAATAACACAGGTAGCCTTTAGTACAGTCAACTTCTAGCAAGAGGCTCATCTTTTTGCTCTATTCCCAGTTCATAATTTCTCAGTGCATACAAAGTAGCTATTAGGGATATCAAAAGCAAATGGATAATAGTTTGTACAATAATTAGCTCTTATCCTATTTCTGATATTCCCATATATGGCCCTTGTTTGTGTTAATTATTTCTCCTAATTTTGCTGGCATATTCAAGCTGTGTATCAGTTTTCATTAACATCCTCCTAGTCCTACTACTAAAGCTGGGAATGAAAGTCAGTTTTCTAGAACTGATTTCTTATGTATCTACTGTGTGTCAGTCTGAAACCTGAAAAAAAAGTTTTTTCTGTACTGCCCTTCGTGTATTGTTTTAACCAGTTTCTTATCTATCTATCTGCAGCACTGTCTTACAGGCCATGATTTCCAATTTAAGTTGTAATCTCTCATATGGTGCAGTATCAGATGCTTTGCTGAAATCCAAACAAACCAAACTGACTGCATTTCCCTTGTCCAGAAAACCAATTATCTTTTCCAGATTAGTTTGACATATTCTACCTTTCAAAAACCTGTGCTATGTCCCTTCTTGTTTGACCCTTTCTTCTGTCTTGTATCATTTGTTCCTCCAACATTTCCTTTGGGAGTTTAAGTTGCACTGATGTTAAAAAGTAAAACAAACCAAAAACACTCAGATAACACATGATATTGGTACTTTGATAAGAGAAACGCATTCTGAAAGAAGCCTGGTGATTTTGAATGGAGCATGGGTATATTGGAGGGATGTTTAGAAATGTAGTCATAGACCACAACCTTGGCTAGGCTTGCAACTGAATGTGGCATTAGAACGGAGAGCACCAACAGTAGCTGCAGGCAGAGAGTCCTCATTGTTTCTCTTATGTTGGGAACACCCTCAAAATAGGAAAACAAAACAATCCAGGAGACAAAGGCATAATGAAAGAATCCTGCATCTGGATGGGCTAATTTTAGATTAGTTTCCTACTGGATTGAACATACGGGAATAGCTGTCTCCCACACCACCAGTAGCCTGAATTGGGACATCCATTCTACATCCTCAGGACCCTGGT